TTTAAGCTTTCAAATCTGAATTCAAATCTCGCACTAACCCTAGGTTATCTTAAGCCAGCTTTGAACAACTCGGCCCAGATGTCTGACTGAAATAAATTCCCGTTATTACGGCATCTCACTAATGAGGACCGTGACTAACCCGAGGTCCGTGCCTATAGGGTCCGCTTTAAAGGGAGTTGACTGTACAGATGTTTGACTGAAAAAAAACTCCAGTTATTACGGACTCTCGCTAATGAGGACCGTGACTAACCCGATGTCCCTATAGTGTCCGTTACAAAGGGAGCTGACTGTTCTTGAAACTGATCTACAAATTCAAAGTACGCCCACGTTTCAGCACTGCTGCCTTCTTCGGGGTACAAAACAAATATACAACATTAAAAGGTTCCCCGCTACAAAGTTCGTTAAATTACGTAGCTCACGTGCCCTATTACGACCTTTTGTACCCTTAAGAAGGCAGCATTGTTAAAACGTAGGTTAAAACACTTGTAAGAGCGTTGATTTTACAATTTTCAAATTAGCATTGAGGATTATAGCTACTCTCGTCAGTTTTGTTATTAATTTTGTACAAACTAGTTTAACGTTAGCTTAATAAGATTAAACTCTTCTCTTTTACGGATTAAACAGCCGGGCCTTTTCTCAAAAACACAACTCTGAAGATCTTAATATTTAAGCCATTACTCATTTTTTTGTTCTTGAGGATGTAGGTCGCCTTTGATTTGGGGTGTCTCACTGCCAGTGTCTTCACTTGTTCAGCTTCCGGTTCTTCCTCTATTTCCTTTGTTGTATACGCATGCCAGGGGGGTTGCCTCCGAATTTTCTCTGATTTGAGATGAGGCTCTGTGAATTTTTCTGCCCCTTGGACAGAAGCGACACCTGTTGTATATTTTGTTTTGTTAGCTTTTTGCGCAAAACCCAAATAAAGCTCAAATTCCTTCATCGTCCGCCCTAAATTCGTCAAGAACTCCAGATGTTTAGCATCAGTCTTATCTGCTTTAACCACACTAACATCAGAACCTAGGTCAACGAGCATTTTCACAGCTTGTGCGTTACCACGTCTCACTGCGATTTGAAGAGGAGTCAAACCTTCTGCATCACAGATATTTATGTTTTGCACCCCATATTTCACCAGGAGATTGATTATCTCACGGCTGTAATCCCTGTTAAAAGATGACAGGTGCAGTGGTGTCTATCCATCACTATCTTGAATATTTACATCCGCGTTGTGTTTAAGTAACAATCTACAGAGGTTTCCGTTACCTTCTCTGGCACACCAGTGCAAGGGTGTATATCCAAATTTATCTTGAATATTTGCATCTGCGTTATGTTCAAGTAAAAATCTACAGAGTGTTTTATAGTCTCTTGGTAAGACTCAAAAGGATGAAGGAGAAAAGGATAATGGCTTAGTGTCACCCCTTAATGACGCGATCATCTGAGACATCTAAGGCAAGATCTTAAATGCTTCATCGTGTACTATCAATCAATCAATCAATCAATCAATCAATCATTTATTTTGACACGTTACGACGAGGACCTAAAAAAAAACTCGTTCAAACTACGAACGTGTATAAATAAAATCTATAATAATTACAGCTATATTATAATATTATTCTTACTATTTTAAAAACAACTCAATAATTATATTACAACTTAGTGATACAAACATAAAATACAAAAAGCTAAAACCTACTTAAAGCCATATACTAAAAACGAGACAGGAAAATTATAGGACAAGTTATAAAAAGCTACAATCGTGTACTATAAAACACGTTCTAAAAAACTACATTCGTGCAATTTACTTTTGAAGTCATCAGCAGCACTTGAAAGACCTACTTGGGAGGGCAAACTGTTCCATAACTAAGTTAATGAATAAGTGAAAGAATTCTTCTTAAATATAAGATTAAAGTTTGGTAATTCCAAATTCAAGCCCTTGCCTCTTAGCCCATACGGTGTACGCCTATATTTAAAAAAGGTTTCCAATATAAGTAGGTCGCATACCAGTTAAGTATTTAAAAAGAAGTATTAACGCCTGGAGTAAGCGCTTACAAAATAAGGATTTCATGCTAGCCGTAGTGAGCAGCTCGTCGTATGACATTGACTTGTTGTGCCCGATTATTGAGTCATGGATGCACTTGGGGCGATTTCTAATCTCATAAGAACTCGAAGTATTAGTTTGTTGACGTCACCAGCGTACCCAACTGGAATATGAAGCACACTGACGCTATCGAATAACAATTTGATCAGTTAGGCCATAGTTATGGTTATGAAACCCGTCAGACTCCTTTGTTACATGTTTTTGTGGACCTGAAAGTGCACAACGTTCAAAAGAATTCCTGTCATTTTGATTGTATTGACCAATAAAAACGTTGCATTAATTTATTCCGTAACAATTCGCCAACAGAAAACAAAGGATTGTGCACTTTCAGGGTGCTTCCAACATAAACTGCAGCACTGTTGTTTTTATCATTGATGTTTGCCGCTTTTCATAACCAGTCTCCTCTAA